TGGTAGCCCAGGCTGGCCTCAAACTCACAAAGATCCGCCTGCCTCTGCCTCCCGAGTGCTGGGATTAAAGGCGTGCGCCACCACCGCCCGGCTGCATGGCTTATTTTTTATACTACCTTTACTATCTCTTTAAAGACTTTATTTTTTAAAACTATGTATTTCTTTATATAACTGTATATGCCACCTTTTTTGGTCTCTTTAAAGCCTATTTCTATTTTACACACATTGTAAACTATTGCATCTGAATCTGTCTTATTGTGAACCTATGCTTTAAACTGCAGCATTCTAAGACTGAAATGGCAATGTGGCTGGTTGCTCCGCCCATTTCACCTTCTCAACATAACCATGGTCCTTTCATGGCCAGCTCTGGGAGCCATCAACTCTTAGAAACAATGGTTCTATGCTTCTATCAAAGCAGCCTGTAGCCCAGAAACTTTTTTTTTTGTACTAGCAAGACTAAATCCACCAGGCAGCATCATGTGTGGCTTGGAGACACCTCATTCCTGCCATACTGCCAGTCAAACCCGCTCGCCAGGAACCCGCCATAGTAGCTCAAACCCACAGCCTGCTGCTAACTTGACAACTAGGAAGCTATTTTTAATTCTGTTTTAGAATCTTTTTTCTCAGGTTTTAGGTGGAAACTCTTGCCAACCCATTGGGCACCATTTGTAGCTAGAGTTTTCTTGGTACCCCATGGTCAGGACAAATCTCTCTCACCCGCCAGTCCCGCAGCTGCTGAGACCCAACCAAGTAAGCACACAGAGACTTATATTACTTATAAACTGTGTGGCTGTGGCAGGCTTCTTGCTAACTGTTCTTATATCTTATGTCAACCCATTTCCATTTATCTGTAAGTTGCCACATGGCTCGTGGCTTACCGGTATCTTAACATCTTCTCATGGCGGCAGCTGGCAATGTCTCTCTGCCTCAGCCTTCCTGTTACCAGAATTCTCTTCTTGGCTTCTCCGGCCTATACTTCCTGCCTGGCTACTGGCCAATCAGCATTTTATTTAAACAGAGTGATATCCACAGCAAGGTGAGACCCCAGGTAAGACACTAGAGGTAGCTGTCACAACTCCCCATTTCCAATCTGACATCGTATAGATAACGACAAAGCATGGCATATCAAGTTGTAGTAAGACTGGGCACCTCCCCATGTATTACCTTTGGACAATGGGATGAGGTATGAGGAACAGGGTCCCAAACACCTGTAAAGAGTGAGAGACAGCCCCTGCTCCTTCTGCTAGCTGTCCAGCAAGAAGACCAAACTACACTAATGTCACACATATGCAGTGAAGCCAAAAGGACTGAGAAAACACATGTCAATGTAGTGATGTCTAATGACATCCTTCTGTACTCATAGATTAATACCTGTTCTAAATGTCATCATAGAGGTGTTCTCCATACTCAATGCTAAAAGCTTTAAGGCAGACAGGTAGGTGGGTCTTCATTCTTCAGACGATGTCCATCGGTTGCTGGTATGTTCAACCCAAACCCTTACCAGATCCCTCAAAACTCCCATCTTCTAGTTGCTTCTCCCAGTTCACACCAGAAATAGTTGTCACCGGCTCACCTGGCTACTGCTTGGCTCTTCAGTCTCTGCCGGGTTCTGGCCTGGCCTCTGTTATTTTTGTTGTTGTTTTGTTTTTTAAGAAAGGGTTTCTCTGTGAAGAGTCCTCGCTGTCCTTGAACTCGCTCTGTAGACCAGGCTGGCCTCAAACTGACAGAGATCCACCAGCCTCTGCCTCCTAGGTGCTGGAATTAAAGGTGTGCGCCACCACAGACTGGATGGCCTGGCTTCTGTTGAGAGGCTCCTCACTCTCATTTGTGGGGTGTTCCTGGAACAATTCCACATCATCCCATTCATCCTCTGCGGCTTCAACCTTCTTAACACTTGGATCCCGAAGGAGATATAGTTGTCCTTGGGAGTGGACTATGGACTGTAGGGGAAAGGAAACAGGATGAGACCCTGGCTAAGAGCCTGGATGTACCTCCCACAGCACTATTCTAGGCTGATGCAGCAGCCCAGCTTGACATATTTACAAATCTGTCTTCCTGGACATAGACTGGCCCAAAAGGTCATACTCAGGTACACAGTGAACTGAGGACCTTACGTTACGTTAGTCCGTAAGGTTACGTTAGACTCTGTCACAAAAAAACAAGGAGTGAGCTGGGGGCTGGAAAGATGGTTCAGAGATTAAGAGCACTGACTGCTCTTCCAGAGGGCTCAGGTTCAATCCCCAGCACCCACAAGATGGTGGCTCAGAACTGTTTGTAACTCCAGCTCCTAGGGGATCAGATGCCCTCTTGTGGCCTGCATGAGCACCAGACACAGATTCAAGGGTAAAAAACCAAAACAAGGCTCCTGCACTCTGACTCAAGATGAGCCTGTTAGCTTACCCTGTTTCCAATATGCACAATTCCTTGGCTCTAAGCCAAGTGTCTGGACCACATTCACAAAGACAAAACAAGCCCATAAAGGTCCCCAGACATTGCCATTTATCACTTGGGAAGCCAAACCCTCCTCTTAGGAACCACTGACTAAGCACAGGACCCTCAGGGGGTTCTCCCTCCAGGTCCCCACAGCCCCAAGGCTGTCCTTTCCCTCAGCCCACAGTTAAGGCTCTGCTTACCCAATGTTGAGGTTTCCCACCATCCCTCAGCATCTTCTCTAACTCTTGGCAGCTCTTCACTCCGCTCTCCTTCACTAAGGCCTGCAGTTCGGGAGGCATGGAGATCATGAACTGCTCCAACACCAGCTGATCCAGGATCTCCTCCTTGCTATTCAGGTCTGGTCTCAGCCACTGATAGCACAGCTCAGAGATCCTCTTCAGATCCTGGATGGGGTCCGACTGCTCTGAGGGGCTGAAAGCTCTGAACTTCAAGTGCCAGACCTCAGGGCTGTAGTCTTCTTTTTCTGAATTCCTGTCCTGGGATGTAGGTGATGGTGTCTGCTCTGAGGGGAGGCTGTCTGGTGGCAGGTTGGTAGCCATGTCTGCTGGGAATATTCCCTTGGTCTCTGACAGGTTGGAATTCTATAAAATGACTCCGGTCTCAACAGACCTCCTCCTTTAGCCACAGGGATGGGCTCGGTGTTGGTCTAGAAGCCTGGGAGGCAAGAAGGAGCCAGATCAGTTTAACTCTGCTGCCTTGTAAATGCCATCATTCCTTATAATATAGCCTCCCCAAAACACAATGGGATTGTTTAGTAAAGCAGAAATTAATCCTTTCTATGAATCTATGAGATGGCTCAGGGTACAGGTGTCTCCAGGCAAGCCCAATGACCCCGGCTAAATCTCCTGGACCTACACAGTGGAAGGAGAGTACCAGCTCTGACAAGCTGTCTTCTGGTCTCCATGTGTGAGACCTGGCACCTACCCCATTCCCAAGACTGTTAAAAATAAAATCAATTACTCTAGTCGAGCTGTGTATCATGAAATACATCTGTAATCCAGGCAAGGGACAGGTGGAACCTGATGCTTGCCATGATGTTAAAACCACTGTAGGTTACATATATAAATACCAAGTTTAAAAAAGTTGAGGGATACAACAGACTCTCAAAATCAAAGATGCTGGGCAGTGGTGGCACATACCTTTAGTCCCTATTCTAGAGGCAGAGGCAGGAGGATCTCTGAGGACAGCCTTGTCTACATAGAGATACCCTGTCTCAAAAAACAAAAACAATGAACAAAACATATGGGTATGGTGGCTCAACCCATAATCCTGACACTGGAGATGCTAAAAGAGAAGGGTTGTTTGAAGCTAGCCTGGGCAAAATTCAGTTTCAGAACACAAAAACAAATATATAGAACTTAACTCCTCCTAGTCTTCCAATTCCATGTTCCTACAAATGCTGGCTTTAAGAATCAGTGGTTCCTGATCTCATCTTCAAATGGGCACAGGTGAGATCGTTTCCACCATCTGCACACAGAAGTAACAGTATTCCTTTCTGTTGTTGTTTTTTCCAGACAGGGTCCCTCTGTTTAACCCTGGCTGTTCTGGAACTTGCTCTGTAGACCAGGCTGGCTGGAATTCAGAGAGATCTGCCTGCCTCCACCTCCCAAGTGCTGGGATTAAAGGTTTGGAGCCATGACATCTTCAGTCCCAGGATTCTGGAGGGAGAGGAAGGCAGATCTGTCAGTCCCAGACCAGCCAGAACTTTGCAGTGAGACCCTGTCTAAAAAAAAAAAAAAAACCAAACAGCCAAAAAGCAGGGGAGATATAGAGGTGGTTAGGAACTCTGGCTGCTGTTTAGATTAAGAGTTCACTTCCTAGTTTATACACTTACAAACACACAGAATTGCTGCTGGGTGTGGTGATGCACACCTTTAATCATGAAGGCAAAACAGTCAAATCTCTGTGACCCAGCCTGGTCTACCTTGAATTCCAGATCAGCCAGAATACAGTGAAGCTATCTCTTTCTCTCTCAAAACACACACACACACACACACACACACACACACACACA